CAGTCTTGAAACAGACTTTAGTCTGTTTACCAAGAACATAATACTTGCAAAAATCGAGCTTACAGCTTTTGACACCATGCAACAGATTTCTTTTGTGTAATTCTGTCATACCACGTTCACTAAGATGAGCAAGACGCATATGCTACAGTTTTGTAGTATCATCACAGGACTCAACAGAATAAACTCCACCTGCAACGGTACTCCCTAACAATCTATAAATATTTCCTGCAGTCATCTTTCCTTTCATCACAGTCAAAGCACCTTTAATAATCCGAATGGTTTCCCTATCCTCATCAGCCTTAGGGATAAAACCATTCTTGTGCAAAGTGCCCAAAGAAATCAAATTATTCTTCAAATCTGGGATATGTCGAACACCACTCAACGTCCGAACAGAGCCATCATACATCTTAATTTTGACATCACCAATACCAACAATATTGCAACATCGATCATCACCCAAATAAACAAAACCATAATTAACCGACCTGTATGTCGAAAACCATTCCCTATTTGGCGTGATGTGATAAGAACATCCATAATCAAGAATCCACGCATCCGTCAATTGAGTCGTTGAAATATAAAGCATATCACCCTCATTGCAATCAGAATTGTCATCCTCGACCACGTTCACAGACTTGGATGAAACATCACGCTTCTCATCAGTATGCTTTTTCAACTTCGGACGGTCTCGCTTCATATGTCCCGCCTCCTTGCACTTGTAACAGTGAATTGTCTTCTTATCCCTAGATTTGGATCTGGAATTCCGCTTGCCAGACCCTGTCTTCTCTGGCTTCCGTCCACGGTCTCGATTACCCTTGACATATAAGCTATCGGCTTGAGAGTTTTCCCCTGCATTCTGCTTCCGCTGGTTGTGAGCCAACAAGGCTGCAGTAATCTCCTCAACGTTGATAGTCTCTTTCCCATATGTAAGAGTAGTCACCATATGTTCGTAAGAGAGAGGCAACGAACACAACAAAATCATCGCTCTGTCTTCATCCTCAATTTTTACATCAAGCATAGCCAAATCAGAAACGATTTGATTGAAGACATTCACATGTTGCGCCAAATCATGATCGTCCTGCATCTTCAGCCCATACAGCCGCTGCTTTAGATACAGTTTTGTCGTTAATGATTTGGACATAAACTGACTTTCCAACTTCCTCCAAATTTCGTCTGGAGACGATAGATGCATGACGTGATACATAACCTCGTCCGCCAAGCATAATCGTATGGTTCCTGCCGCTCGTTGTTGCAATTCTTCCCAATCTTCCTCCTCCATCGACGACGGCTTTGTAGGTCGCAAAGCCTTCAGGATCCCCTGCTGCGCCAACAGATCCTTCACCCTCGTTTGCCATAATCCGAAGTTACCCAGACCATCAAATTTCGCAACTTCGAATTTTGCTCATGACATCTGATACCAATTGTTGATAAATCGGGCAAAGTAAACGAAAGAACACAAGAATTTTAACGAGGTTCGACAATGTGCTTACGTCCTCGGTGCCTAGGCGGCGCTAGAAAATTTGTATTCAATGATAATAGGTTTAGTTTACATCTCTATTTATAATAGAAAACCCTTGTACATAATTCCAAAATTAACCCTGTACCGTACCGCGGGGGCGCAGCCCCCGTACCCCCAACCCACATAATCGTAACCCCCTCTACGAGACTTTCTTTTTAAGGACAGTTGATGTTAGCTTTGCTCACTCCGCTTTATCCCCTGTCCACTTTACCGGTATATTTATGAGCCATACCTTACACTACTCAAATAACAACCACTCCCATTGTGGGTAAACCACTCTGGTAACAAGTATTCTAATGATAGCTTTTTCAATTCCAATATGTTTCAAAAGATATTCCACAGATTGTTCTATAAAACACTTTTTTTTGTAGGAAAAAAAAGTTATTCTCCTTCAAAAAGCTTCCCTTGGAAATTGTTTTCTAAAATGAACTGAAGGTTCATAATTGGGCAACCTTCTAATCTACATACAATGATAAGAAATCCCTCAAAGATCACCCTTCAGAGAGAATAAGGTACAAAAAGAAAATTAAGCAAACAAAATGTTACCAGCATCATTTGTTACACTTGTAGCCAATGCATGTTGACTAGAATGCTGGAGGATGGAATTTGGTTGCTGCTGTAAGCTGGCAGCTGTTACTCTATTAAGAAAAGGTGCTTGGGCACCAAGCCCTATAGAAAGCGATGAGCTTTGAGGATTGAACTGACAGAATAAGATCATAAAAGATTATTTTATAGTTTCCTTTCATGAGAGAAAGCTAACCCAAGCTCCCCCCAATTTGCAGTGCATTGATACATCATTCTTGTGTAATATGAAATTGTGAATAAACAACAGAAACCTAGACTTGTATATAACTTTGTAATAAGTTGAACAACTTGGATCAGAGAAAAGGAATTCATCAAAGAAAAAGAACCAGCGGCATAACAGGGTTTTGTTGTGCAGAAAACTGCTTAAGATTTCCTCCAGTGTGAAGCAGGATGCTATGGCCTTGTTGCTGCACTTGTTGGAGCCGTTGCAAATATTTTTCCCTCATATCAGGTGCTATCTTAGTTCTTCCACGGAGCTGCCCCTAAACATACAAATGCATTAGCTACTATATCACACATGACAAATGGAGAGCATGGGTGCAGACAAATGACGGACTAGCATACCAGCTCATTTTGATTCTGAAAAGAGCTTCTAGGCCTCCATTGCATACCAGAAACCATTGAAGGGGGAAAAACTCTGCCACGAATTCCAGCAGACTCACTAAGATTAATAGAATCAACAGATGCACTTCCATCATCAGCCCCAAAAATATTTCTTTTTGCCATGTCAGAGATTGAAGGGACCGCACCAAGGGGAATATTAGATAAAGGCTGACTTGAGATGCCTCCTCTAATGATGCCTTGTACTCCAGCATCGGCAAGAGATGGAGATGACCTACGACCAGGGAAGCTTGGAATATCTTCTTCTCTTGTATCATTTGTGCAAATTTACAGGAGATGAAGGATTGGTTGTGCATGTAATTTCCAAAACACTAGGAGCAGAAGTTGAACCTTGTAATAACAATCGGAGGAGTTGAAGCACTAGGCAAACTATGAGGTGAAAGATGCAATGGAGCAGGGGTCGGATGGCTCCCAGTTGGTGTTGCTGCAAAGAAGAATTAATTGCACTACTTTTCGAAGGTGGAGTCCTTGCTATATCAGAATTACTATCCTGGGAAGCTGTATCTTCAGCATTATCCTAGGAGGAACCAACCTGCTTATTACATTAAAATATGATAGTTTCTTATACGCCAATGTGAGCATCAAGCCATCAACTAATAATGAAGCAGCAAATATAACACAACAATAACATCTTTATACATTGCATCATTAAACATCCAAATGACAGAGAAGAGAACACCTACAGGCACTTGAGATGCTGATGATGCCAAAGGCGGCTTCAATCCAAGAATTAGTGCAGCCTGACAAACATTCAAATTTCCTTTCCAAGTTATTTTCCATGAAAACTGATTTGAATTGAATTTTTTAAGGCATGGTATTAGAATCTTCCAGCAAAACCAAAATGGGAAAAAGAGTTTACCTTGGAAAGGGGACCAATAGCAACTAGATCTTCAAGAGAATCCACCTTATCTAAAGATAATGAGCTGTAGAGCTCATCAACATCACTAAATTCATCAAAGTCTTCCTACAAAAATAACTAGAATAAATATATGTGTAACAGTCAAAACCCATGAAATATGTTGATGATGTTCTTATGATAAAACAAGCTATTTAAAGATAAATGATCTTTTTAACACCGTAAAAACTGAAGTAAAGTAAAGGGAAAAATATCATAGAACAAAACCTGATTACGTTCTACATAATCATCCAAGAAGTCCTTCACATCATTGACCTGCTCTGGACTCAACTCATCATTGTCCAATAATCTCAAAATCAATTCTAATTTCATTATATGAGCTTTGTGCCGTGAAATTGATGTCTCCAAGTGTGACTGAAGGGAAAAGACAACAAACGGAAACAAAGTTACATCAAAACAATGTATGTAGTCTCAAAATGAATTTTCTCTTTCCATTTTATCAGTCTAGGTGGTTGTCTTTCCTTTCTTCACAGACAGCCCCTCAAACTCAACTTCAAAACTATCGATCTGGGATTCTAACTCTCCAACCTACTCAGGGAAACAGTTTATATTACATCCTAGTTTCAATATATCACTAAGAGTAAGTGGAAATGTAATAATACTCCAAAACAACATTATATACAGAGAGAAGTTCAAAATCAGTGGAAGTTGAAAATGATCAGTTCCTTGTGTTAACAACTCTGCCATAGCTGCTCAGCAGGGAGCCGTCTTAGTATTTAGACGACCAAATCATCGGCAAGATAGTTAAAACCTCTGCAATTACCATTACCAACCCTAAGCTGCCTCTCAAGTAGTGACATGATCCATCTTTTGAAAATAAAGATGATAGAAGAACACACGTTGTGACTTGGGTTTTATGCTATACGGATTTAGGGTCGACAGTCTTTGTGTATTTACTTTATACTGTATATTAACGGGCTTCCATGGGGAACAAGTTTATTCACTGTTAAGAAAGTACATTAATGTGCTGATGCTGCTAAAGATTTACGGGCACTGGATGATGGAGCTTACACTATTGGCTTTCCATTATCAACAAAGAAGGCAACTTTCCTGTTAAAACAGGTTACACTTGAGGAGTGAGGCTGGCTGAGCTTGTGAAAGGTATCTTTAGAAAACCGGTTTAACCACCGGTGGAGAAATTGTTCATTTTAATCACCTGAATGTTAAATCCGTAACAGCATTAATATGAGTCTTAGGAAATAGGAAGAAAGAAACTGCAAGTTATAGTTTGATCAACTTAGCAATGGGATTGAAGAGTATTTGGTTTGAAGTAACTTTTAACTGTGATTTTTCATTCACAAACATCAAATGCGGAGCAATAAATTCTTATGTTTTGGAACCAAATAATAATGATTCATCAATTATATGATTATTAGCATGTTAAAGTTAAAATGTTATGATGTACAGATGAAAGCAAAGTCTTTGAGCATTTTAACACTAACGCTCTAATCAGATCAATCCATGTTTTCCTGCATATCTAATGTTTTATGTAGTTGCAAGAAGCAAAATCTACCCTTTTTTAGCTGCAAACTTTATTCAATTAAAGATTGAATTAGTTTTGGTTTTATCAAGCGGGTCATAGATGAATCAGAAAGAGCAACATTTTCTTCTCAAGTCTCCTCTTCCGATGAACTCCAACCACTTTTGGTTTCTCCAGCTATTAAGATCGACAGACCCTTTTCAGTTCCAGCTTAGACCATTCAAATCAAACTGTTTGCAGCTTGAAGTAGCATCATTGTCTTCATGGACATTTAAGTCCAGCTTTGTTGCACAATAAGGTAGTCTTAAGCTCTCTCGATCTTCATTTCTGCTATTGTTGCTGGGATGCCCTTTTTCGCCTTGTAATCCCATTCTCATGGATAAATCACTGGTGCATCTATCTGCAAAAAACATTCTTCGTTCTGCATCGTTGCCTATTTTGATATTGTTGAACAATTTGAGCTCAGTTTGCGGTAGCAGTCGATCTTCCGGTAATGAATTGCTGTTGTATGTTCTTAAACAAATCCCATTGTTGTGTATTTCTTGCTCTTTCTGAGATCCATCACATGAAGTCAAGCAACTATCCATTGAACAATCAGCAGGTGGAGTCCCTTGTGTTAGCCCATGCTGGGGGCATAGGCCTTGCAAGTCTTTCAAATCTGGAAACGCGGAATTCAGGCATTGGTTCGACACTTTGGACACCAGTTCAGATAACTGCACTTTGGCTGCTTCGAGTCCCGTGTTACCCAAGTTTTGTCTTCCAAGTGTTTCTTGAGCTTTTTCCAGCACTGCCTGTAAGTATTTCCCTTGAGCCTCAATACGAAGCTGTAAATGTCGCTGCACCTGGTTCAATATTGAACTTATCAGACCGTGGCATAACTAAAATACATAAAGATTCATTTTCAGAGGAATGTTACGTACCTCAAGCTGTTCATGCAGCCTTCTCTGCACTTCGATTTGCATTTGCAGAGCTTCACCGATTTGTAAGCCTCTGCAGGTCATGAACATCAAAATCAATACATAAACATATGTATGAATGCAAAATCTAGTTATAGAAATCATTTATCATTAACCATCTTACTTGTTTGTTTGAGGTCCAATACTTAAGTTATTGATGTGAGTTCCATTTGCTTCGGACATTCTATCCCCAGCCGTCGCAACCGCACCTATCTTGTTACTTCCATTATTAGCTTGTCCATGGAGATTTTTACTGAGTCTATATTTCTGCAACCAAAAGAAGAAATCGAATTAGCCCTTGTACAACATAAAATAACACGACTGAACCATGAATCCAAGGCTTAATTAAGTTGGTTCACGACGTCGATAAGTTACCTGAAGATGACTCTTGAGATGGTATAAGGTAAGGCCGGGAATATCCATTAGTTTCATTACCGTTTTAGGAGTAGCCTCTGCAACATAAGAAAATCATTTGTATTAGCCTAACATAAGGCAGTTTATGCATGAATTTGTTCAACTTTCGCGTACTTACTGTCGGCACCCCCGAGCTGATTGACTGCTTTGATGAACCGTTCATGAAGATCAGGCGTCCACTTGAGTCTTGGCTTGGCATCGGTCGAAAGAACAAGACCAGAATCTCCAGGGCCATTCCCTCCTTGCAGGAACAAATGTCTCTCATGGTGCATGCTCTTCCCTTGATGTTGGTACATATTTTCTGTCTCCAAAAAGTACTCAAACATGTAAGTTTCAACCTTCTTGTTGAACCAATACAACTAGCTAGCCATGTTCGGTATACGGCTCCGTTTCTATACCTGATCCGGCCGCTTCGATCTCTATTCTTCGATAGTTAATCTTCCTCGAGTTCTCCACCGGCTACTCTTACTTATAACGCCAAAGATGACCCCCAAGAAGAGCTTTTATAAAGCAACACACACATACATAACTGATGGAAAGACCTGACCGAATCCAGTATTCACAGTGATTGAAATAGAGGCATTGCCCCTTCTACTTTGTTAAAACAGTGGGCCATGCAAAGTCTACTTTCCATTCTAAAACAGTGCAATGCGCGCGCGCACATATATATATATATATTATGAGAATTCGTATTCGTATTCTTGTTCGTGTTCGTGTTCGTCCCTACTGACAAAGGCGAAGAATCATATTCAAAGACAGAGTTGGGGGAAGCCTTGTATTTAGATACATACAAAGAAAATATGCTTTTTCTTGGAGATTGTTTTGCAGGCAAGGAATGGAATATTGGAATACATTCCCTTTTGTCTCCTTCAGAAAGTTTGGTACTTATTCAGCCCTTTACAACTCTTTATATATATGTATGCATACTCGTCTTCGATGATAGCGTTCGAGAAAATGGGACCCGAACCGGTTTGCAATAGGAGTAAGACGGCCGGCCGTCTTAACGTGGAATCCTAAGCTGTATTGGGGACCCCATGAAAAGAAAGAAAATTGTTAAAAGAAGGTAACTGTACTTTTCGTTGAAATAAATTGTGATAATTCCATGGCCTTGCAGATGACAACTTGCCCCTTGACTTTGCGCCTTTTGTGTCCTTTCCATGATTCTCTTGTGTGAATCTATACGCTCTTCTTTCTCTATTTGGTCAACTTTCTTATCTTAATTAACCCCATCACAAAAGACTTCTTATAATATATATATATATATATATATATATAAGTTCAAAGATTGTGTCGTTGTTGATTGTATTTTTGATGAGAAATTGATGGGTATATCACCTCTATTAGTCTTTGTGTTAAGCAGTTGTGGTGTGCCCTCATTTATCGTTTTCTCCATTCCTTGACCAAGACATTGGTCGTGTAAATTGTAAACCGGTGAATGTGGATGTTGCTACTTTTACACAATAGATATGTGAATGGTGATTTGATTGTGTGTTGACAGGTTCTATGCTACATGTACTGAACTGTCGAATCGCACTCTTCTTCAATATCTTTCCATATGATCGTCGTACTCAAAAGGTACGATTAAGATCCTATGTTATGTACCTAACTCAATAGAACTTTGAATGTATATATATATATATATGCCTAAGAACTAATTCATCCTTTCTCTTCTCTTCCTGCATGAACCAGCACGTCAGAAAATATGGGCACTATGTAATCATGCAGGCCAAGAAGTTTCACTCGACTTGTTATTTTTTTCTGAAATATTTGTATTTGACACTCAAATTTAATTAATGCATACCGATATCGAGATATAAGTAATTATTTTTTAAGAACTTTTTAATTCATGAAAATCTCGAAAAAGAGTTGAACATACTCGTATCAGAAACATACATTAAAAATCAATGTAAGAATAAAAGAGTTGAGTTTTGTTTTAAAGCAAATAAAAGTAAAAATTTGAATTCCCTTGTATATTGTCTTCTCATTAATTCTTGGAAAATCATATATGCATTATGCAGTTTGGGAGAATCTAACATCAATGCCTTGTGCCTTTTCACTAAAGTATTGAAGAAGAATCCCTAGACAGTTTGCTGGCACGTGGGATTGGAATATATTTGCATGAGAAGCTTTGCCTCGTATAAATGAACCCACTTTTCCAAATATAGGATCGAGACTTTTTATTAAAAAATCGAGTTCGAAATGAGTTAGATTTTTTAAAGGATAAGATCGAGTCGAATTTGAGTTTATGATGGAAAATATATGACTCGGAAGAACAGTGTGATTGATATTTATATATTTAGACATAATTTTATCTAATAAAAATAAAAATTATGTTCAAGTATGAGTTTTTACCGTAAAAATTATATTAGATTTCAGGTTGAAAGGAACTTCTCTAAACTCAAGTCGATTCAGATAATGGGTGAAAGGATGTTATACTCGAGTTGGGTTCGTATGGGCTAAAAATTCAACCTGATCCAATTTATGACCATCCATAATCACTACTTAAAGGTAGATTTGAGTATTAATCTTACTTGAAAAGAAAAGAGAAAATATTGAAATTTAAAAATAGTAATATCACATATTTTATTAGATATGATTTTTGAGAAAATGATTAGTGGCGGAACATAAGAGGGATTAATGGGGTCATGGCCCCCAAAATTTTAAAAAATTATAATTTAGACCTTTAAAATTTAAAACAAATTAATTTGGCTCTTTCAAAATTTTTAGAAATTCAGATTAAACTTTAATTTTTTTAATGTTCTTAAATAAACCCCTCCCATAATTTTTAAAAAAATTCTCATTAAACCTCTCAATATTTCAAAAATTTTAGTTAAACCCTAATTTTTTTTAGAAATAAACGTAAACTGAACCCTTCAAAATTTTTAAAAATTTTAATTTAAACCTCTTCATTTTTAAAAATTTAGAGTTGGTCTCTCTCAAATTCTATCACCAAGTTCCATCACTAAAGATGATATTCTCTCTTTTTTTCACGACTAAATTATAAACAATGACAGCTAATATGTGAATGAAACATGTAATATAGCATCTAAAACATGATTGCTTTAAGACATGATAACTCTTTCTAGTTTTATAAATAACCATGTTTTTTATTTTCACCATTTTTTTATATAAAACAAATCCCCACAATCTTGTTATTGTATTGTACATATAATTTCCCATTTATCAGCCGTATTATGTTGACGGACAAAAGTAATTTAGCTTAGGCAAAAATATGTACTTTAAATCTGATGTTTCAAAAGTACATATGCCTTATCCTACTTGCTAGTGCTTTATTTGAGGATCATTTTCAACATTAGTACATGGGAAAAAGTACTTAACTTCCTTTCAACTTGTCAATATGAATATGATTTCGATTCTTTTCATTTTCAATGATTAATATTATATTTATAATATCGATAAAAATAATAAAATCGAAAATACATTCATCATATAACAAATATTTAACTTACAATTCTATATAGGGATGAACCGAAAGAGAGAGAGAGCGAGGGAAGTTGTTTCCTTCAAAAATTATTTTTTTCATGTATTTTAGATATTTTTTGTATTTTTTATTAATAATATATTTTTGACTTTCCTGAAATTTTATAAATTCGCTCATTAACATATAATTCATCCAAAATTATATAACCATTTACTACCTTCTAATATCTCTAAAGATGCTATTCTTCCATTTAAAAGAAAGAACATTGATATTTATTCTTCCTTATATTCACATTTTCATTTTTACAAATTTTGAAGTAATAAAGTTTTGGAAAAAGAGAAAACACATGTTAAAAATATCAAATTTATCAACGAAGTTGGTTCAAGTGGTAAGCCGGAGACATAACTCTGTTGGGGTTCAAAGGGGTCTCGACCCCTGTAAAGATTTTATATATTCGATAGATATTGATTTTGTAACACCCTCAGACCGATGCAAGTGACTCGATCCGATCCGAGGTGTTACATTAAGGCCACCGGAGCGACCCACATTAAAAATCCAGGAAAAAATAAAATTTCTATTAAAACGCGTAAAATCATAAAACAATTTATAATTAAAATATAAGTTCAGAAAACCATTCATATATCACAACATAATTAAAATCATACAAGTTTCAGACTCGGTATAAAAATCAACTGTGACCTATATGCCCCCTAATTACCCTTGTATCGTTAGGGATGGCAAAAAAACCGAACCCGTCGGGGAAAACCGAAAACTGAATTAAACGGGTCGGGTTCGGGGATGGGGAAAGTCGAATTTTTTAAATGGGGACGGGGACATGTTTGGTAATCCCCGCCCCGATTACCCAAATAACTAGCCCGATACTCGGTCCGATAAATATCAAAAATAATAATATATATATATATAATATTAATAAATTTAATTTAAATTAAAAAATGTATAAAGGAGATTAGGATTTAGGAGAACACATCTTGACATATTCGTCACTTTCCCTGCGGTTGCTCTCAAGTCTTGCTTCGCCGATCTTGACCTTCCCTGCTCCGCTGCTGGTGACTTCACTTCACCTGCCGATCTTCCTTTCCCTCGCCACTTCGCCGGCCGATCTTCCCCTTCCCTAGTGACTTCTATGGCCGATCTTCCCCTTCCGAGTTCCGGCCTTCCCTCGTCACTTCCCATCCGATTGTATTTAAGGTTAGTCTTGTATCCTTATGTTTACTAGCATGTGTTGGTAGTAGCTTTACTAAACCAATTTTAATGGTCTGTAATCAATTTTACGGTTGCAATCTTGTTCTTTTACTCATGGTAGTAGCTTCTGTAATCAATTTTAATGGTCTTGCATTTTATGTTTACTAGCATCTTCTTCCTATGTATATAAAATTATTGGGCAACAGTATGGATTTTGAGAAAATCTAAAGTACAACACCTTATAGTTGTGGTACAACTCTCCTATGCATTCAGTTCAATGTGTATACATGGAGTACAACATCTTATGCTTGCAGTACAACACCCATTTGGGTGCAAGTTTATGAAACCTGTACTTTTATATATGCTGCTATCTATCCGTTTTTTAATTCCTTAGTATTGTTTTTGTTTGTCAGTTAATTTGGTAGTGGGTATTTTTAGTTTCTTTTATATTTCTACTTCTGGATGGGATGTACCTGGATGATAAATGTGAAATTAGTGTTTCAAGTTTGATAAATGGTCTTCAATCTTGTTTACAAACTGATGCATTTTAGGAAAAATAGTTACTAATTAAATGGTCTTCAATCTTGTTTCAAGTTTGATAAATGTGAAATTAGTGTTTGAAAATGTGACTTGGTTAATATATGGAATTATGGATCTGCTATTATTGTTACTATCAAGTATCAAGTTATTATTCTTAGAATCGAGGTGATTTTATAGCAAGTGCAAATCCATTCTTAAGTCCATTTTTGTATGATAGTTGAGAACATTAATATCTAATTATTATTACTTCAAACCTTAAAAATCACCTGCTAAATGCTAATACCATTTCTGATCATTAATAGATACTTTTCTTAATGAAGGTTGTTTCATAGCAATAATGGAAGGTCAACGATCTATAGATGATAATTCTAATGCACGGGCACAAGCACAATCACAAGCTAAAAGAAATAACATGA